TATACTACTCCGGTATTTACCTTACGAATTAGGAAAACTGCAGGAAAACCTAATTCGGGGTATTATAGGAGTCGTCGAAAATAAAAATTTACTTTTGAACTTCGGATCCCAAACTTGTGAGCTCAAAAGGGCGCGTTCAGCTTAATCTGTAAAAGACAATAAATAAAAGCGGTAATGAATAGCGCGGAACATAAAATAATGCGTAAGCAATTCTAACGTCTGACACTGGGACAATCGTATACTAAACGTGTAATTAATATTCAATAAGAATCAATAATTGGAATGACTTTACACTAGCGAAAGCAAAAATTAGATCGACCACGGATTATACTTACAACATCTGGTTAAAAACATAAACGTGACGTTCAATTCAAGAAAACTAAAAGTCACTAAAAGTAATAGCATGCGTACCAAGAGACAAATTTGCATGTAAGCATTTGCACGACCTCGGTCAGCGAAACAAAGAACTAATAGGTATAATAGGAAATCTATAACACTTAGAACAAATTTACTACAGGAACAACAGAACTTACATTTAAACTAGTTGATTACAAAGTAAATACCTACCTAGATACCATAAGAATACTGCATTTAAATATACACGAGAGCAAGAGGTCACTCAAATGGAATCGAAGGTTACCTAAATGGAAGGTGAATAAGGAATATCAATCGGTAAAAAAATAACGTTACAAAATAATTATTATAGAACTTATTCCAAGTGATTTCTGTTCCTAAGATCAACTTAGCTTAATGTCATATATTTCTCTCTCTACGTTTGGTATTTTTATAAACCAAATACCTATACCTACGAGGGTGTTTAATTTTCTGCATATTCTGGGATTATGGACTACTATAGGAGGGTTGACCAGGGTCCACGTGCACGTAGGGCTCCAATGTAGACCCTTTGTACCATCTCCTTGACTAGAGTCGTCCGGCCGCTCAAACCATCCCACAATTGAGATAAACCTAAGGATGCTGGAAAGGGAGTACGGTCTAATTGTAACCATGTGCTACAGGCCATCATATGCAGCAAATTTGAGGCCCTTGTGTATTTTTTTAGATATTTCAACAAAAAGAAACCGCATGGTGATGAATCGGTGGCTGTAGACTGGATGCGGTAAGTATGTGAAGCTGTACGGTTTGCGATTTGCAATTGTCCTGCAACAGCGCAATTTTTATTTGCCATGAGTTCAGTCGTTTTGCTTTACGTGCCTTCATCAAGCAGTCAATCGTGTTTCCACATAAACCTCATAATTTATCGTAGCCTTTTTTGCCACGCAGGTATTCGATATTCGATAAGCAAAACGACCTCGCACGGCCATGACGTCCAATACAGCATAAAGTCTTGCATGTTTCCAATTAAAATAACAAAAATAACTCGGAACAAGCAGTTATACCTATTAAAAATTAGTCTGTGAATATTTATGGTACCTAAATTACATAATAAAGTGTACCTATAGGTACCTATAATATCTACCTATATATTTACAATTCTCACACACTACCTATACCCACTTTAGGTATATGTTGGTTACCTATAATAAGCCATGGCCATCCTAAAGTTATTATGACAAATTTACTATAGATGTAGGAGGTACCTCTACAATTTTCGATATTTTCTACCCTGGAAACCTAAGTAATGGTATGGTAAGGTATGCAGTCAATAGATAGGTAAGCTTTTCTGGCTGTCACAGATGTCAATTGTCATGTCAATAAAAATATAATACCTAAGTAGGTACCTACCTATACCTACTATTTTCATGTGTCGTAATGAAGCTTTCCAGCAAACAACTAGTTTTAGTATATACCTACGGATATAAAGGATACCTACCTAATGTTATTTCTAAGCCTTTTTCTTCGTTGTTTAAATGATCAATTAAAGATAGGTATATGTATATCACATAGTTTTCCGTCGGATAAGGATGTGAAATGATTATATCTTCAAGTCTCTATAAACACTTACCTATGTATATAAAAACCCTTTAATGAGGCACCCACATTCAGTTTGCCGCGGAAATGAAGAAAATGCGACCTTTCTAATTTATATCTAAGTACATAAAAATCACCACAATCATTTAATTTGCTGTACTAAATCGGCAACAAATGTAAATTAATGGAAATTGCGCACATATCGAAGAATTAAGACGATGAAACTAGCTAAATGTTTTTGCCTTTTGGTGGAGTGTTATATAACATGTAAATGGTTAGTTCGGCTTGGAACGGAGGTAGGCAGTGCATAAAATCCAGAGCACGACCGAGCTGATTTGCATAGCTCAGCTGTGTAGGGAACAATCGATTTTCACGTTGCTTTGTCTCAAGTTTTTTGCCTAAATAGGTATACACTACGAAATTTTAAATTCTAGTTTTTTTTTCAAATCGAGTTACACCGAATAGGTAATTACAAGAGGTAATGGAAGAAAAAATTAAATGAACCGCATTTATGTTTTCCAATTGAAGGTAGGTACGTATACCTAAATATCTAGAAGATATAGGATATACCTATAGGTAATTAAAAACTACTTATCTACTTTACTATTAAATAGCAGGTAGGTATATAAACAAATCGAGTGTTTATATAGTGGGTAATAAATTTATAGGCAGTAAAAATCTTTACGTTTCAATTTTCGTAAAAATATATCACGGACCATTACTTTTCGGTCCTTCAACAACAAGAAGATCTCTTGCAGACATAAAATGCATATAAAAAGCTTGGCGGTGGAGAGATAGTTGATCCGCGACGAATGTCGAAGATGAAATACGCGGCGTCATGGTCGTCCCGGCGCTGCAAATGGACCGGAAGTGGCTACGACGCGTATTCAGCTTTAGATACATAAATTACAATATATTTTGATTTATTTTTTATTTCCGCTAATGTAAACCCATTTTATTACTAATATTTGTCATGATGGGGCTGATATAAAGAATTGCGATGAACTAATATGTTAAAATGGCCGTAGCGAATGTTGAACGGCATATTTCAATTTGGCATGCAAATGCAATGAATTGTAAAAATGTTTTCGGTAATCGTTTTAAAATATTATACTTTCGGCGCTGTGAAAGAATTAAAGCTACAAGAAAAGTTTCACCCATAAATTGAAATTTCGGGTATAAATCTTACAGGTTTTCATACTTTCGGAAGTTTTATTAAAAGTTTACACCTCTTTTATTTCCAAATTAAGCTAAAACACTCCTCAAAACAAAATCATTTAATATCACAATTTTTCGCCCCAACCCATGGGTGTAATCATTATGGGGAGCATCTGAGATACGTAAAATTCTCGGCGTGCTCGCTTCTTTACTGGCTAATAAAAACGGTAAAAATTACAGCTGTTTCTTCGGTAATAATTTTAATGTCTCTCTAATCAAGCATTCAGGAGGAAAGTGAAGTAGACGGCGCCATCTACTAACATGCCTAGGCACTTTCGGCAACCATTTTGTTTCGTGTGCCTGCCGAAAGTCGCTAGCTGCTGTAAAATCGGCGCATGTCTTGTAAGAAAAATAAATATCACGCCCACTTTTTTGTTTCTCCTACAAACCTCTCCTACTTTATGTCACCCCCCACTACGTATTGATAACCCCCCTTTTTTCGTAAGTTCTCCTCGTTTCCCTTACGTAGGGGTAAATAGTAGGGGGCAATAAACACATCGTTATGGTAAAGCTGTGTTGAGCTGTTTTATACGACATAAAATTGTTAACTGTACCTCAATATTGATTTATGATGTACGTAGTTATAATAATTCAACTTGCACTTATGGAATGCATATTGTGCATTTTTTACGATCACCCAGCATTCCATTACCTAATTATTCTTCGCTATTAACCAATGCAGTTTTAAAACTAAATTAGGCAGATTTTCTTCCACTTGATCTGGCAATTGTTATTGTAAAGGCGTTTGAAATGTATCTATAAACCTTTATCAATTACTAATTACGACTAAAGGTACCTAATGCACTTTGTTCATTCGACGGTATGATTACACTTTTTTACGTAGGTACCTACGTAGGTAGGTACCTTCGAAAAAAATGTATATGACGTACATAGGTACCATACCTTTAGATAGATATAGGTACACGGAACTCAAACACAGTATTACACCCGCAAAACGCTGATTAATTACCTACATTTAAATTAAATTCTGCATGAATTTTTTTAATTCTAATTCTGGGCATATTAATAAATAATAATTCGCCAAGCTTTTAACCTTTATAAAGCAACTCTTAATAAACGATGCGAGTGTGGTTTTTGAGGTAAGTAGGTAAACCTATCTATATGTGAGCACATTTTTAATTAATTAAATATTCTAATCCGTATAATTATTATTTTCTGCGTGAAATTACTAAACTGTAGGTATTAGCGTTTTACTTTTGTGTGGCAACAGTTATAGGTATACGTACATAACAAGTAGGTACTTACTATCAGTAGGTGTACCTACTTATACTTAGTACTTAGGTATGTCATAGGTATCTTACTCACAGAATATTTTGTAAAGTAGATATATGCTTATGAATGAGTGGAAATTTAAAAAACAATTATGTACGTATCTAGTATAAGTAGGTACTCCTTTTTCATATTTTTTTATTGATGGCATTAATTTACCTACATATAGAAAAGTTAGGTAATTTAATTGAGAATGATGATTACCTAGTGTTAAAGATTTTTATTCAGAATTTGGTTTCCTTTCCAAATATGCCGAGATATATCTACAGTTTATTCTATTCTTAAAAAAGTGTTGTTGAATAGGTACTTCTGTTAATAGGTACCTACCTTGGTTAATACCCAGTATCTACTGAATTAAATTTTCTACTTGTAGGTAACCAGTAAGAACAAATTCTGCATATCTGGTAACTTAGTGGACTTCGTAGCTCCAATGATACAAATAATATTATTACAGTGCCGGCTTAAGTTAAAACTTAAAATACACTGTATATGTTCTAAATTTCTCTCATAACACCCCAAAAATGAAGTGACTTAATTAATTTAAGTAGATACCTACCTATAAGATGCATTATGAAATATTTTATGATATGAAACTGGCTGATAACCAACATCAGGATCATCAAGGTAGGTACCTAGGTGCTATTTGAGAAACAGCACGTGATCTACGTAATCTAAAACCTGCTAAAAGCAATTGTTGGCTTGTATTTTTTATTTGCAGTATGAAAAAGAGTGTACTTATGTATATACGTATAATTGTGTATTTTTTTCAACTGAATCCAAATCTGTAATTAATTAAACAAAATAACATCGCACTTTTATTTAGATTTAGTTATACATAAAAAAAATCAGCTGTGGCATTGTGATACCTATTGCCGTCAAAGATATCCTGAACGCCAGCCATCCACTCAAAGATATTATTTGGTACCATGAAGGATGAAACTAGTTCCACCCCCCCTCCCCCTCTACCCCGTACTTTGATAAGAGGACAGAAAGAAGGACAGTAGTTGGTAGAAAACGGTTCCTTTCGTTGAGACCTTTAATTAGAAACAAAGAGATAAAATTAATTTTTAACTCCCCCCCCTCTCTCAGGCTCCGTCGCTCACTGATCTCGAAAAGGGGTCGCACGGGAAAGTTATAATTTGTACAAACCAATTTATTTCGATGAGATCTTTCATACCATGAAGGGTAGACCATGTGTTAACCCCCCCCCCCCATTTTCTAAAGTTTAACTTGGCACCACTAAAGGCATGCGTATCCAAAATCTGAGACCAATTGGTTGTCGTATGTAAAAGTTATGCACGTTTTACTTTTAAAAACAGCATCTCAGGAAATAATTCGAGGGGTTGGGGGGGGGGGTGAGCTTTTAGACAGCGAAATTTGATGGCCGTCTGGCACACCTTCAAGGTATAGGCTATCTACTGCAAACAATTCCAGGACTCTAGGACCATTCCCCTAGAAGTAGTTCGAAATGGCAGAAGTGGGTCCAGACGGACGGACTGACGGACAAAACGCAAACAATATCACATTTTTTTAATTCTTAAAAAATGCGCTAAAAATAGGTAGGTATTGGTAGTGCAGTGTTATATTTACGTAAGTGTGATTGCTTCAGTCGGGATTATTATGTGCGAGTGTACCTATATAAAATCTGGAACTATTACATACTTCTTTTAGTAAAAACCACGAACTGATGAAGAACTGTCATAACGGCAATTGTTAAATGGCTACTTAATTTTCTTAGATTTTTTATTTTAAAACTGTAAAAGCAATGATCTCAAAATATATATTTCAAAATACAGTATCAGACTTTTTTAGCGTATATAGGTAATTTGGTCTTTATTTTATCTAATTTCCAAATTCAGCGTAAAATAATAGGGTGTTCATTTAAAAAATTATTTATTACCTACGTCATATCTCTATAACGAAAGGCGATCCTTAAGTAACAATTACCTACAATATGTCTCATGTAAGTTAAAAATTTGCGTGTTCGAGGATTTTTTTCAAAAACGTTTACTAAAACATTTATTGTTATAGTTCCCGACTTTAAGTAGGTACACTCGCATTGTAATTTGTATATAATATATAGTTTTACTATAGCTTCCATACGTGGCTGTACTCCATTTTTGTTTTATTTTGAGCAAATTAATTTACATAGGTATAGAAAGTTTAATGCTTTATTAGAATAACAACCTAAAAACGAAGTGAAGTATTTTAATTAGGTATAGTATAGGTACCTATACAGTATGTTTCAAATTAAGTCGGCACTATTACTAACTTATTTAGTTTGTAGAGTTATAATGACGGTTAGATTACCAACACTCTGTATATTATTACATCATATATGGCACCTTATTAAATTCTCTACAAAAGTTCCAGCCACGATACTTCAAATAACCCAGCAGTGCAATTATTTTCATTTCGAACTAGTTATCTATGAAAATGGTATAAAATGAATTTGTTTGTTGTAAAGTATCTGACAGCTAACTTTGATTTTAAAGTTTATTACATAATGCTGTTAAAGTTTATTTCCTAGAACACCATCTTTAACGTATAGGTTGTTATCTATATTGTAACTTGTAAGTTGTTTTTATATGTACCTATTACTCATTTCACATGTTATTCTTCTTTTGTTAACAACCTACCATTAAGTTCTATTTTCACTTACTGTCTTAATATTATTAAGTACCTACTATTGTGTGTTTTTATCATGTTCGTGGATAACTAGATCGAAATCAAAATAATTGAAAAATCTTGGTTATTTGAAGAATTTTCGGTATGGGGCATTAGGAACTTTTATAGACAATTTACTAAGCTATCATATGGCATAATAATATATACAGGGTGTTCCATATATAATTGAAAGGACATAAATTTCGTTGGAGTCTCTTGACCCTCTTGACAATTTAATCCAATGCGAGAATGCAGGGAAACCTATCCGACAAATTTCCACGAAAATGAAAAAGTTCTCCGATAGGTATTCTCGCACGATTACCGCGTTGTGCGCGGGTGCACCATCCTGTTGAAACCAACATCAGTTTCCAACTTTGGTTTTTTATGTGCCGTACATCGTTGTATTCCAATTAAAAATACTACTCAGTACCTACGGTGCACTACTATTTACGGAACATATCGAAAACAAGTAGTCGAATACAATGGGCCAAAATCACAGAATAGGACAGTTTTACATGGAGTGTCACAAGGGAGTCACCTAGGGCCCACGTTATTTGTCAATCAATGATCGTTTTTTTAATCTGCATCACAGCTATACTTACTCTGTTGTATTTGGAGATGACACTACCATACCATGATTGCAACAGCGGCCCCTGCAAAAGCAAGCGATTACAATTAGTATACCTACTGCTAAAGAGGTTTAATGCAAGCAAATAATATATAATCGGACAATTAGGTATTACCATTGAATAAAAACACTATTTTTTACTCAATGGTATTACTACTTAGTTATCTAGATGTAGGTATAATAAAGCCATAAGAATTAAGATGTGATGTAGTTTCAGTTAAGAGATAATTAAATTTACAAGGCTAGTTAAGTTTTGGCGAAAATTTTAGATTTACATAGACTGATGATAGGATTCTCTAAAAACAAACGCAATAAACCTTTTGTTACCGTACAATGCCGTTCTTTGGTGTTTTATATAAGGGGAAGGGGAACGGTTCCTTGAAGTCTTTGGATTCATCTGGAACAATTCATTTTAGTTAGAGCATTGAAAAATGTGGTTTTTATATGCAATGGTTAGAGTTGGCATATATTAGTTTATTCGAACTCGTAATTCGGTTCAGTGCACTATAATTTGCCCAACACTTTTATAATGACATAGGTACCTTATACAGAGAGAATTCGGATCACGGTTTAGTTTTTCGTTGATAGGGCTTGGCCTGATGTGCAAGAAAAAATAACATAATTCAGTTTACCCCGAAATGTATATAGACACATTTTACCGAGATACCTATAGCAATGTTGTGCAGCGCAGCCCTTTTAAAATTTATAATTAAGCGATAGTGAGTTATGTATAATAGGTAATATAGCCTAAGTATTTGATGGTGTATTTTTTTAAACTTGGTTATTATAGGTATCTTTAGTTTGTTTTTAAATATTTTATTATAATGAAGTAGATATTCGTAAGATATATCATCAATAATGTAATGTAAACAACAGGAACTCTAAACACATTACCATAAAGTACCTACACATGTATTATTATGCAATTCAATTGACATTCCATGCTTTATTTTAAAATGTTTATTGTACAAGAAATCTGATAGGTATACCTACTTTTATAAACTTCCCATTGTAAGTATTCCATACACTTTTTACTTGACTAACATTATTTTCCGGCCTTCGCTGTTTGAAAAAAATCTAAGTATTGGGTGTGCCTAAAAACCAAAACCTTATGGATTTGTTTTTGAAGCAATATATTTGGCCTACAATTTTTGGTAATCAGATAATAAATATGGCATATTTTTAGAACCGGTCAAAAAAAGTTGAATACTTTATATCCATAAGTAGTCAAGTCATTATTTGCAACTTCTCTAAAATTTGTATAAATTCTGACAAAGAATTGTCGCCGAATGTCGGAGAATACATACCTACTGAGCTGTTGGGTTTGAATCAAAATTTTATTCTTGTATGGAAGTCAACTCGAGTAATAGATTCGTTATACTTTCAATCATTTGGTTTTTAAAATTAATTTTTAAGTTTTGAATCGCGATTTCTCGGTAATTAATCGATCGATTTTAAAAATATGCACATGGTTAAAGTTGCAAGAATTAATTAATTCTTAAGCTTAAATTTAAGAATACTAAACAAGGTTTCCAATTCTCTTTTTTCATCAATTTTTTGGTAACTTTTAGTTACTTTCTGTATCACCAACTTACCTGCTGTCAAATTATTATCATCAGGTTCTTATTCCGTAAAAATTATATTATTCAATGGCGCGGAAACTTTATACATTTAACATTAATAAGAAATTGAAATTAGACATAGAAGACGGCAGGTGTCTAAGCCAAGTATAAGGCCCGCAAGACGTAAGTTATACACAACAATATACAGGGTGAGGTTTTTTTCGCTTACATGCGCAAATAATTGCAGAATTTTATGTAGATTGAGTTTCCCTTTTAGAATTTCTGGTTACTGTACAAATAGTTATGATCAAAAAACCGAAAAGTGTTTATTTGCAAAGATATCAAAAAACTGTTTTATCAAACCCTTAGTAATTTTTTTCAGCTTTCTGATGGTGCTTAAAATAAATTTTTATCACTTGTGAGTTTCGAGTAAATCCAGGAGTAAATCACATCAATTTTCTTATTTCTTATGGACGCCATATTGGATTATTATAATTCGATAGAGAAAAAAGTTGCAAAATCCTCGATACTAAACACTTAGTCTCAAAGTTTACAATGGATTTCTTATGGCAGTAATTCCATGGCCGTATCGATAGTGAGACAATAAACGAATGAATTTGGTTTCAAGCACAATCATCCATGGAATTATTACCATAAGGAATACATTGTAAACTTAGAGGCAAAAATACAAGGTTGATTTCCAAATCCAGTACTAAGTGTTTAGTATATCGCTGATCTAATTTTTTTCTCTATCGATTGACATAAAA